AAAAAACAAAACAAAAAATAATAAAAAAAAAAAAACAAAATCCAATTGAGTTTATTATCATAGTAACCTCCCACAAACTCTCTTTCCTGTCCAACTTACCCAGTTATTTTCCTTGCAAATACTTAAGGCAACAGAGAGAAAGACACTTCAACTTGCAATTGGGTCATTCAATTTGTCACCTAAAGGGAGTGGAGAGACGGAAAAAAGTAGCCTGTAAGTTTAGCACGCTTCACAATGTATGTTTTCAGTGTTTCTTCCTCACCGTACATCAAATCACATGAACTCAGCAAAGGTACTTATGTTTTTACTGTTTTTTCTCCTTCCACACATTGTTTGGTGCTCAAAACTTCAGCTTCCAGAGATGTATTTTTATCTCCGTTGCACTACAATTTATTAATTTTTCAGTAATAATTTAAATCTACATTTATCCCTCTTGCAGACTTTCTTTCACTATATATAAAATTCTCAAAACTTGATAGCTACTTATGGAAAATGTCTAAAATATTTTATGACTAAAGGACTTCAAACAATGATACTCACAGCCGTTGTTAGAACGAGCTTTTTTTTTTTTTTTTTGCATCTTAAACTTAATTTGTTGTATGCCAAGTTTTCAAGTTGCTTAGCAGAAGAATATATTATCAGCAAAAAGTGAAAATATATGAAGTGGAAGACTCATTTGCCCCAAAATATAATTGATGAAACTGAAACCCAGAATAATTTTTTCATAATGGCTATGCTGTTAAAGCATTGAGGAGATTGAAGAATACGCTCTTATTCTATCCCTACTTGTATAACATTGATGAACTTAGTATGCTGAACTTTGTATACATCTTGTATAAAGGGTTGTTATCCTTTTTTTCTTTCCAATAAAATTTTGGGAAATAAACCAAATCTACACTAAAGCAAATAAACTCATAGGTTGATAGAAATTCTTTACTGTGATATCTAATTCTAGCCTACAGAAGTTCTTTATGTACATTCAAATGAAAATCTGGTTGACAAAAAACCCAATAAGGATTCATCAAATTATGTCAAAGAAAGTAAGTATACATTATGATTAAGTTTCATGCAATCCAACACTCAATGACCACCTGTAAAATACAAAGTAATGATGGATTCATTGGACACTAGTGTTCCAATTTCTGCACTCGCAAAGCCACTTGGGCACTTGGCATCTTTAATAACTTCATGCAACTCTTTCTGAAAATCAATGTTCTATATGCACTCAGTTCTTTCCGTTTTATTCAAAAATCATTTCTATGAAATTCATAGAAGTGTATACGCCGTGTAAGAGCTATAATACTATTGCAGCATGAAGTGTCAAGCAATGATGATGAAGAGTTGATTCATGCTTTGGAAAATGGCTAGTTGTTCTCTTATGTATAAAATAGTGGAAATCAGTTTCTAGTTAATTTTTTTTTCTTTTTATCTGTCAAGCTCTAGCTGAGGTGTCATTTTTGATGAGTTGTACAGTAGGAGGCAAAGGCATGTGCAGCACGTTTTTGGCCAGAAATTAGTTACAATAAAGGAGGACCACAACAAGTGTGTAAACTTCTCAAAAGTTTGTACGGCCTTAAGCAGACCTCAAGGCAATGGTACTCCAAGTTTTCTACTTCAATTGTTGAGTATGATTTTACACAATCCAAGGCTAATTAAAATTTATTCATCAAGAAGAATAAACTCTTTTACAGCACTACTAGTCTGTGTTGATGATATTATGCCCCTGTTTGACATCCATTTTTTTCTCACTCTTTATCATTTTTTTCTCTTTTTTCATTTCAACCACACATTCTATCAATAAAATGATATTACTCATAAACTCAAAAATTCTTATTACTTTTTAATCACACATTCTTCCATCAATCACTATTCCAAATCAAATTCTTCTCCAAAATGGGTGTCAAACACAAGCTATAGTTGCTACCAACAATGAAGAATCGATCGTTGAACTTAAGTACTTTTTGAACCAGAAATACAAGATTAAAGACCTAGGTTCTCTATGGTATTTCTTAAGGATTGAAGTTGCTAGGACAACTAAGGGCATACAAATTTGCAAAAAGAAATATACTTTGGACATTTTGGCCGGCTCAGGTACACTTGGCTCCAAGCTAACTAAAGTTCTTATTGACAGCAAAGATACGGGACAACTCTTAAAGGATCTAAGTATCTATAGAAGGTTGATTGGGAGACTCATTTATCTTACAATCACAAGACCAGATCTATGTTATAGTGTTCAGAATTTGAGCCAATTCATGGCTAATCTGATCTTCATTTGGCAGCGGCGCATAAAGTTCTGAAATACATCAAAGCAACTCCAGGACATGGTCTATTCTTTCTTGCTCCATCTTCTTTGCAGTTGACATCTTATTGTGATTCTAATTGGGCCTTGTGTCCCGACACCAGAAGATCCTTGATCCTTGACCGATTGCTATGTCCTAGAGTATGGAGCAATGGCAGTCACGTTTTCTGAGCTCACTTGGCTGAGGTATATTTTGTCAAATCTTCAAATTCTTCACCCACAAGCTGTTGTTCTTTATTGTGACAATCAAGCAGCATTACATATTGATGCTAATCTAGTATTTCATGAGCGTACGAAACACATTAAACTGGATTGTCACCTAATCCGTGACAAGATACAAGAAGGGAGTATTTGTATAACTTATATTGGTACTCAATTCTGGTTAGCTGATATTTTTACAAAGGCATTGCCTTCTCACATTTTTAGTATTCACCTCTTCGAGATGGGAATATTTAATCTCTATTCTCCATCTTGTAGGCGGGTATTGCAGCATGAAGTGTCAAGCAATGATGATGAAGAGTTGATTCATGCCGCAGCTGGTGCAAGAGCAAAGAGGAATTTGGAAAATGACTAGTTGTTCTCTTTTGTATAAGAAATAGTGGAAATTAGTTACTAGTTAGTTTTTTTTCCCTCTGTTAAGCTCCAGCTGATAGGGGTGGGCGTGGGTTGGGT